GAGGTACAGAGCCAGAGGTGCAAGGGTGGTGAGAGAGGATTCACCAGAGACAGTGGGGAACAGAACAGGCATAATGACGAAATACACTGCTGAGGGGAGCAGTGGGCCGACAGGAGAGGTCTGCTGCACCATGTGGGTCACCTCCCTGGCAAGGAGTCAAACTTGCACTGAAGTGGCTGCAGCTGGCTCCACAGTGCTGTGCTGCAACCTGTTGTGCCATCAGGGAAGGCCCTGGCTCCTCTGTCTTAACTAAAGCGATTGTACTTTTTGCTGAGAGGCAGGAGACAGGATTCCCATGAGTCTTTGACTCAGCCTGGAGTGACCCGTATCACGGTCTGCTCCCATTTCATTGACAAGAACTAGTACAGGACCCGAGCTGGGGAACAGTCTTCCAACTGCGAGAGAGAAGAGAGCTGGATTGTGGAAGCCATGGTGATCCTGCCACACACACACGCTCTTGTCTTTAGTTGATTAAAGTGGAGGAGAAATTCTCAGGAGTTGTTCTAAGATAATAAAAGAATAGATATTAGGGGGATGATGTAGTATTAGAGTGTACCACCCCCCCTCCCCAATATGAGGATTGGGAGGTGGGCATGAAGTCCTGGGGTAGCCAGTCACAAAGGAGGGATGGATGCTACACAAACTTGGAGACAAAGGAAAATGCACAAGGGGAAATAATACGGGATGGGTGAGTTAATGACAGATAATGATGGGGTGAAACTACCAAGGAAAGGGACGGCAACAATAATTAAGTTTTATTGAATGCTGGCAGTTCCTGAGTACTGTATGTGGTCGATTCCTGAATACTGTATATGGTCGATTCTCAACAGTCTATGAAGCTGGTATTATTGGAACTCTCCTTTAACAGACAACAAACTCACGGTTATCCATCTGGACAATGGCAGGGCTGAGCCCCTGCCCCACCTCCACATCCGCAGTCTGAAGTCCAGCAGACTTTGTAGCCTGGGCCACCCGTTAAACTATTCTTTTTTTTGTAAAGATTTATTTATTTATTCATACAGAACTGGGGTACAGACCAGAGGTGCAGGGGCAGTGAGAGGATTTACCAGAGACAGCGTGGGGAGCAGGACAGGCAGATTGACGAAGGACACTGCTGAGGGGAGCAGCAGGCGGGTCAGGAGAGGTCTGCTGTGCCTTGTGGGTCACCTCCGGGGCTGGGATCGAACTGGCACTGAAGTGGCTGTGGCTGGTTTGCAGACTGTGTCCTAACCCGCTGCACCACCAGGAAGGGCCCTGTTCAACTATTCTTAAAGGGGAAAGAGAGAGCGGGGAGAAGGGGCTTCTATTCCTTGAACTCGGCCAGGTCCTGGCCTAGGTGCCTTGTGCCTATTCGCTCATTTTCTAGGGTCTACAAGCCATTTAGAAGGTGCTCAATGTGTGTTTTTGCCTCTTCTGTTCCTTCCCAGAACTCCCTGTGCCAAGGGCCGGTGCGTGGACCGCTGTGTCCTTTTTGATCACTGCCTCTTCTCAAAGCATTGGGGCTGAGATTCTCACCCACTTTGGGTGAGATTCCCTAGGGCCTGTTCTGCCAGATTCACGTGGGCCCAGTGGGGAATGAGGAAGGAGGAGGCCTTTGACCTCAGTATGCCTACGGAATGTTCTGGAGACAGATGGGGAAGCTTGAATGTGGGTGCTTTGGAAAAACACCCTCCTGTAGGCTCACCAGCGAATGCTGGCAGGATGGCTGTGCCGGCCCCACAGTCAGGCAGACGTGGGTCCACGGCTCACTTGTCCTGCCTGCTGAATTGGCAGGGGCTTTGGCTCTGTGTTTTGGAGTCTTCGTTTGTGAAACGCAGACAATGTCTGTCTTGGGGGATTAAATGAGGGGATATACACACAGTGATTAGCCCAGGCCCTGGTACAGACACTAAATGTTCAGTAAGTTTCGATCATGTCACAGATGTGGAAAATGGGGTCCAGCAAGTTGTCCAGGCTTGTGACAGATACAGACTGGCTGAGCTGGGGCTGATGCCATCCTTGTAAAGGGAATGGGCATTTTAGGACTGATGCCAAAAAGCACGAGCTTGGGTGCCCTGGTCCTGTGGGCCCTTTGCCTCCTGAAGTTATGGGTCTTCTCAGCTTATCTTTAGTGCCATCTGCCATTGAGGATGGTGCCTTCTACACCTGCCCAGGACTTGTGGCCTGGTGGATGTGGGAAAGTGTGGCTTTTTGACTCCCTGTTAAGAGTGGGTCTGATGTCAGAGCTACACCCTTCTCCAGGGTATCCAGGGAGGGTAATGACCCCACTTTCTGCCTTTGGGGATGAGCTGACCTTCTGAACACCCAGAGTGTAGGAGTCACTCAGCTAACATTGGTGGTGCAGGCGCAGATGTCAGTAGGGCATGGTGTCCTGATAAAAGCCAAGAAGCCAAAGGGAAGCTTCTGGGCCAAATAGACATCTCTGGGCCAGAGAGGTGGCAGGTGACTACCTTTGGGGTTTTTATGGTGTTGGGATCATTCAACAAACATTTATTTTATTATGTGTCTGATGTCCTGTTCTCAATGCTGGGAGTGAGATAGGGCTGGATCCTGTCCCTAGGGCCTACTGTGTCAGCTTGGGTGGGTTGCAGGGAAGGAGGAAGCAGAAAGGCCATTGGGGTTTAGTAGCAAACAAGATGGATAAAAATCTCTGCCCCCATGGAGCTGACATTGTGGTTCAGAGAGTCATGGAAGAAAAGGAAAACATATGGTAGATGATGATAATGGTAAGGAGAAGAGTAAGGCAGGGAAGGAAGAGGTGGGAGTGTGGGGATGCTGAGATTTTAAATTTTTTGTTTTACGGTGAGTACTTTCTCTGATTGCCTTTTACTCATTCTTAGTCATCCCTCATTGTAACTGAGAATGGAGGCCTCATTCAGAAGGAGTAGGAATGAAGACCCAGTGAAAGAGAGAGTGGGCTGTGTGGCTCTCTGAGGGGAGGACACACTGGCTGTGGAGTACACATGCACAGGCACTGAGGGATGCCTGGTGGATGCGGGGCCAGGCTGGCTGGGACTGCAGGAGTGAGGGGAACAGCAGCGGCTGAGGCTCAAGGCGAGCAGGGCACAAATGCCTTCTAAGTCTCAGGGCCCTCGATGGGAGCCAGTGGAGGCTCTTGCAGGGGAGTGACAAGATCATGCTGGGTGCCATGTTGACAATAGGTTGCAGGGGCGGGGCAGGAAAAGGGGGGCTGGTGTGAGGAGCCCACTGTCCTGATCCTCTGGCTCCCTCCATTGCATCTTCAATCAAAGAAGGAAGGGCAAGGAGGTATCACTCGCACTGTGCCCTCCCGTGCCAGGCCTCCTAGGCCAGGGCAGGCACTCAACAAATACTTGATGAGTTTGTGAATCAGTGATGCCTAGAACCTGCTCTCGTCTGGCCCATGTAGGGGGCCAGAAAGACATGCTTTTGGCTGCAAACAACAAAAGCTAACCAACAATGGCTTAAACAAAGAGGTTTTATTTTTATTTACAAGAACTCTGGAGGAGGGTGGCGGCTGGCATCTGCTTAGTCAAATGATTATAGGGTCAGAGTTTCTGAGAGTCTCTTGGCCTTTTTCTTAGGGTAGTAAGATGGTTGCTGTGGCTCCAGGTGTCCCATCTTCAGTCAAAGAAGGGAGGAGGAGGAGGGTGTCAGCCAGGCCCGTCTTTTTTATCAGATAAGCACAAGCTTTCCTAGAAGCCCTGATCCACTTCTTTTAAATTTCACTGGCCATACCTGGTCACCCCAAACTACAAGGGGACTGGAGCAGTAAGAAGCTGGATTTGCAGCCTCTGTGCTTGGAGATGGCTCAGAGGCATTGGGACTCACCACTGGGGAGTGGTCAGGACAGTTATCAAGGCTCCCAGGAGGGGCGATGCTTGAGCTCCCTTCTGCTTCTGACTCATGACTCCGGGTTCCCTGGGGCACCTCTGGGGACCAATGAGTAGACCCCTAAGCACTTCCTTGGAGGGTCCTACTCCATCCTAGACACCCTCATCACATGTTCCAGCAACACACCGACCTGCCAGTGACTTCCTTGGGGAGCTGATTGTCTTTATTTAGGGACTGTGCATCTTTAGAGAGCATTACTCTCGCCTGGCACATAAAACAGCTTTACCACATTCTCACTAAAATAGTCACATTCAGGAGCCTTAGAACTTGACTTGTACACACACACACACACAGGCACACACAGGCAGCATATCTGTATTTACACCCTCCTGTGGCACCCCACAGGAGGCTTAGTCACCCCCAATCCTGCAGTTAGGAGTAAAATCAGATGAACTTTTTCCTCCTCTAAGTCTCACCTTTTGGTTTCAGGAATTAAATAGTAGTTTGGGGAGATAAAATGAAATGCTTTTCTAATATTGCCCTGTCACCTTAAATGATGAGTTTGCAAAGCCAGAGGCAGGGATTTTATCCTTCAGGGGAAAAGAAACAGATCCCCTAAGTCTTTAAAAAACGGTGCAGATACATACAGCTAAAATATTGGGTCGCTTGAGAGAAGGGATTTTTGAGGGAGGGTGGGTGAATTCTGGAGCTGGCCCAGCTGATAAAACCTACTAGGGCTGGAGCTCAGGGCAGGGGAAATGAGGACTCAGGGGGGCTGTGGGATCCTCAAGTCACCATTGGTATTTCAGAAGCCTAAAGGGACATCATTATCTATTTTCTCTCCCTAGGTTTTAGGAGAGGCTAAAAAATTTCTTTTGTAATGGAATATTACTCAGCAACAACAAAAAAAATACACATGCCTTTTGCAGCAGCATGGATGAAGCTGGAAAAGATCATGCTTAGCGAAATAAGCCAGAAAGAAAAGGAAAAATACCAGATGGTTTCACTCACGGCAGGAGTATAACGGACCAGGCGGGAAAATAATAATAGTAATGAACAGCTATAGACCAGAGACACTTTACGGGGGTGGAGTGGGGAATGGGATCAAAAACAGTGGGGGGAGGGAAGTGCACTGGACTATGGTGATGGCACATGGGTGAGTTGGTGATGGGAAGCCCATGGGGATTGCAACTGAGATGAAAATAGGCACAAAATGATGTAAAAATAAACTATTATATTATTGAAAAAATTGTTCTTTTGGGGTAGGTTGGAATAGTATCATGACAGCAGGGTAAAAAAAAAGTGCAGATTGGCAATTATATGCACCGTGGTAAAAACAGGAGTCACAGAACCAAGCAATTTGCTAGGCAAAATCTGCCCTAGTGTGGAGTCCCTGGGGGTGGAGAAGACTACAGAGCCCCTGAGGCTACAGAGGCGGGGTTGGGGGGAACCGCAGGACAGACGGCCCTGGAGCCAAGGGACAGAGATGGCACCAGGGTTGAGTTCCTCAATACTTAGCAGCTCTTTACTGGGTGATCCTCAAACAAGCAGCCTGGGAGATGGTTAGAAAAGCAGAATCTCTGCCCTCGCCTCAATTCTACTGAATCAAGCCTTATTTTAACAAGGTTCCCAGTGATTTGTAGGCATAGTAAAGTTTGAGAATCATGGTTCCAGGCCTCTGGGAGCAGAAAGGCTGCAGCTCTGGCTAGGCTTGCTTACAAGGCCCGGACAGGGAGGACAAGGGAGGGAGAAAATGAAATATGGGGGAGGGGGAAGGCTGGCAAACCCTAAGGAGATCTCCTCACTACGGCCCTCTCCACTGGACACGATGGGCCACAGGCTGGCTGTGCGCTGCCCGGCCCTTGCTTGCCTCACACAGCTGCACTTGAACCCTTGGCTCTCAAGCAGGTGTCGGAAGATACTGCAGGCCCACTCCTGGACATCTGGTTGCAGGGGCAGGACATTCTCTGAGACCCAGGGACTGCCCAGAGAAGCAGGGCTTGCGGGGTGAGGCAGAAAGGAAGGCTTTTCTGGCCAGAGAGGCACCTGCCCCTTCCCACCTCCCAATTTGGCCAGGGGTATCTTGGCAGAGCTCAGAAGACCTTTTGGGGCAGGTGTCTTGCAGAAGGTTTTTGAGGCAGTGGCTTTCTGTTGGAACTGGAGCGGTGAATGCTGGGAGGGGGAGCCTGGATCCCAGGACTCTCAAGGAGGGCCAGGCCCTCAAGGCGTTGCAGTTTACTGCAGCTAGCATGCATATCACTGATGGCCCAGGCTACCAGGTACAGAAGGACTGGGCGGAGTAAAGGCCAGGGGTGGGGGTCGCCAGCTCTACAGCACTCTCTCTTCGCTGGTCAGTGTGGCAATTCTCCGCAGGTTTTCCCTGACTTTAATAAATTCAGGGGCGTGATCCTCTTCTTTCTCTGGTGGTTTTTCCAGCTGGAGGAGATATAAGCAGAGGTATGAAATGTGTGTGATGAGAGTATTCCTATTCTTAAAGCCACTAGATTTGGACCAAGAGTCCTCTCTGAGGAAACAGACCTGGGGATCAGTTTGGCCACCAGGTAGCTGAGCAGGGTGGGGGAAAGAGCATGAGACCAAGTTCTCCCTGTGAAGCCCAGTTCACATTGCACACGTCATCCGGGACTCTGGTTCCTCATTTTTTTTTTCTTCCTCATTTTTAAAATAGGAATGTTACCTGGCTCAAAGGGCAGTCAGGAATGCATTCAGCTTCGGCGTGTAATGACTTGTATTGATGAAGAAACAGGTTCAGAGAGGGGAGGCCACTGGCCCAAAGTCACACAGCCAAATGAATGGTAAGAGTGAGGACCCAGGCCAATGGTGGACTCCTGGTCCCACCTCATTCTGCTCAGCCGCCTCCCTCCTGCACCCTGTGGCCACATGCAGAGGTCTTCCCTGCGGAGGGAGGGGGGGTGCCCAGAGACAGCCTAGACAAGGCGAGGGCAGGGCTGTGTGCCCCTCAACCCCCACCCACCTGGTTCAGCCTCTGCTGCCGTCTCATCAGCTCCTGCTCGAAGGGGCACTGCAGCCGCTTGGCCTCCAGCTCCTCCTTCTTCTTCTTCATGAGCTGGTTCCGCCTGCGGTGCTCCAGGACACGCTGTAGCTCCGGTTTACTGTCCACACCGAGGCCCCTAGGGTGGGGGAGGGCTGTCAGGGGACCCCCACTGCTGCCCACCCCAGTCTCAGGGATGGGGCCTGTGGTGACACCCACCTGCCTGTCATTTGGTGCATTTCCAACAGCCCTGGGAGGTGGAAGCATTCCTGCAGCATTTCACAGAGCGGGGAAATAGGCCCCAGGACTTAGACACCGTTCCACATCACAGCCGCAGAGGGGCTGGACAGGGTCGAACCCAGTCCAGCCTGACCGCAGATACTAGGTCCTACATTATTTCTGGGTGTTTTCTTAGGATAAGTATCTGGAGATGGAATTGCTGAATTAGACTTTTTAAAAACATGGGGGACATAGTCTCACATAGACCTTAGAAGTTATCCGATTTGCACCCTGTCCACAATGAAAAAGAGCATCTATATTCCTCACTATCACCAGCTGATATTTTTATATTTGCGAATCTGGTAGGCAAGAAATAATTTTTGCTTTTTTGTTTTGTTTTGTTTCTGTCATTATTAGCCATATGGAAGAGCTTTTGAGATGTTTACAAGCCATTTACATTTCTTTTGTGAGCTGACTATACCTAACATTTGTTCATTTTTTTCTTCATGGATTTTATATATATATTTTCTACCATTTATATTGCAAATATTTCACCTGATTTGTCTTTTGTGGTTTTTTTTATTTATTTATTTTTACATTAAAAGGGATGAATCTAAAAGACAATCTGAAATGTTTGTGATCTAGTAAGTGGAATTCCGGTACCTTGCACACAGCTCAGCCCTGCCGATACCAGAACTAGCCAGCAGAGGGAGCCGTAAAGGCGCACAGCCATCACGCCGGTCCTGGTGAGCAGGGAGCTATTTCCCAGGCCTGGGAAGGTAGAGAGGCTCTGCTTGCCCCTCTGTAAACCACAGAGTGCAGTTCCTGCATCCCAGCCCTGCTGTCTGAAATCTGTCTCTCTACTGAATCTCAGGTCTCTCTACCTGACTTACAGCCTTTCCAGGATTGTGCATCCCTGCCTGAGACCCTTTCCTGGTTCACAGTCTCCTCGGCCCTACCTCACAAGCTCCACCTACTCTGTTTCCATTTCATTCACCTATGTTTCTCTTTCTGCTGTGAACATTCTTCTTTTTAGCAGTGAATGTTTACCTCTTTGCCTGGCTCACTCCTGTGCATCCTTCAGCCTTAGCTGAAGCATTACTTCCTATGTGAGGGCCTCTTGAATTCTCCTAGGGGGCTCCTTTGGGGTACCAGGCCCATTTATATTCTGAGTACCCATCATACCACCTGGCTATACACCTACCTCTGGGCACTAGTACACCGTAGGTGCTCATTAAATGCATGTGGCAGGCAGGCATAATGTGGATATCTGGGGGGCAGGGGCCCCTTTGGGGACTGGACCTTTACAGCATCTGCTGGTGATCACAAAAAGCACCCCAGCCTCCAGGGCTCCCACAGGGAACACTACCCAGCTCCCAGCAGGCCACAGAGGTGCTTGCTGGGCCGTGGCACCCCAACTCCTTTCCCACCTTCTGTGGTTCATGAGCAGCTCTCGGTGCAGCTCCTGGTGGCTCCGGGAAGCCTTCACAGGGTTCAGCAGTTTCTTGGGCTTAATGAGCTCCGGGTTCCATTCTCTGTACTCTGGCCGGGCCATCAGGCCCCCGATGTCTGCTCGCTCCCTCTGGATCTCCGAGTACATGGAGGCTGTACAGATGGGCGGTGTGTGGGGGGCTGGTGAGAGCAGAGTCCATGGTCTCACCCACCCCCCAACCCTGTGGGTTACCATTTAAGGGCAAAGGAGTGGGGTTAGATGGAGCTCAGCCTCCTACTGCTGTGCAGCCCTGAGCAAACTGCCTGACTTTCTGAGCCTTGGTTCCTTCACGGATGAGATGGAAACCTCTGAGCCTGTGTCCTGATGGGGCAGATGCTTAAAGCATGCAAAGGGAGAGTGCTGCTGGGTCACAAATCTGGTTGACAAGTACAGTGTCACTGGCCTGACTGTGAGGAGACAGTTTTCCCCTCTAAAAAAGGAATTATGTTTGAGTTTGTTTTTCAGTGACTTTGTATCAGTAAAAGAAAAAAACTTAAAAGAGTAATATGTACTTGTTAAAGATAACTTGGATAAATGTAGCCATAAAAAGAAAGTAGCTGCCCTGATGGTCTAAGTTCCCCACCCACACTTCCTCCTGGACAAGGCCAGCTTTGTACTTTCTCCAGATCAAAGACGAGATGCTGAAACCCGGGCTGCTACATTTCTTAATACAAAGGGATGGTCTTCATGTTCAGTGCAGATGTCCTTAACACTTCTGGATGACCAGAGCAGCTGAAATTTATCAGCTTACTGGAGATTCAAGCAGAAGAATTCTCTCCTCTGTGATCTGGCTCCATACTCCTTGAAGTACCCAAAAATGCATGTATGGGGCGGCAGAGAGAGGAACTGAGAGGGAGAGACTTTAGGAAAAAATCTCAAGTGGGAGTGGATACTGACCATTACCAACTTATATATTTTAGAGTGGATATTTAGACGTTGCTTCTGCCCGCTTTGTGAGGGCTGTTTTTTTGAGGCTGTACCTTTATATGGCAGTCTCTGGTCTGATAATGCACTAGGCACTCAATAAATAATTGCTGGTAGAAACACTTGTAGGTTGGTCTCAGGAACTGCTGCTTTAAAGCCTGTGGCTTCCAGTCTGCAGCTCACATACCAGCCTTAAGTCTCTGATGAGGACCACCAGGCAGCCTATGGACAGCCCTCACTTTTCCTGCCACTGGGGAGAGGGTGAGGAGGGCGTTATGGATGAGTCAGAGTTCTCTAAGTACACTAGACAGGGCAGTGGTCTGTGCAAAAATCTGAAAATAGGTAACAACTCACTGGTGTTGAAAAATACAGGGGGAGAAGGCTTGGTGGACTGTACATTGAAGGGCATGCAGGCATCAAAGGGGGGATTAGACTTTGCATTCGATGGCATGCCAGACACATGTCCAACATTCCTGCTAGAGCCTACCGCAGAGCGCTGCTGGGAGGATTAAGTGAGACCACATTTTTAAAAGTGCTTTGTAAACTGGAAAAAGTGTTAATTATTACAGGCTATTTTGGATATAGTCAGACTGTGTCAGAGCAAAGAGACAAATGTATGCTAACCTGCTAAATCTTTTTTCTTGAATTCACATTCTAAGAACTTTTTTCAAAACAGGCATTTAATTTATTTCCTTCCTTCTCATCTTTTAAAAATAAAGCTGCTTTTAGGTTATTACCTTCCTAATTATCTTTCCCTAGGTTAATGATTGTGATAGTATTTGGTGCTACTTAAAAACAGGCGCTTGACAAAAGAAAAGTGGTTCTATCCACTAAATCTCCTTACAAAACTCTGGGTTTTAGCTTGTGGGATCAAATTGTCTGAGAGAAATGCCTTAGCATACCCCTCCTCATAGCCCTCCTTAATGACTCAGCGAGTTGAAGCCCAGCATCTGGGAAGCTGGCCATGGCTGCTTGGGTGTGAGCTCCATCCCCTATCCTGTGATCGTGGTGCCTCTCCTGGCCCGCCCGCTGCTCCCCTCAGCAGTGTACTTCGTCAATCTGCCTGTTCTGCTCCCACTCTGTCTCTGATGAAGCCTCTCACCGCCCTCTGTTCCTCTAGCCTGTACCCCAGTTCTGTATGCATAAATAAACCTTAAAAGGAAGTACCCCACTCAAGAGTAGAGTTTTTGGAATTTCTTCCCTTTTGCTGTCTGTTGCCAGCTCTTTATCTAAGTAATTGTCATTACTTTCTATTTCCCAGACTTCATCCACTGCAGGTTATTATCACATTACACTTGAGTGATTGCAGCTTTGTCCTTTTTTACCCTGTCCTTAGTTTCCTTTGCCACAAACCTTCCAGAGTTTCATAACTTTCCTTAGCCATACCTCTTTAAAAGTACTATGTTGCCAAAGTGATAAGGCAGGAATGGGAAATAAATTGTATAACTTTAGGAAGAGGAGATGGTGAATTAATAGATGCATATTAATAGATTCTACATATTCAGAATTTCCAAATGAATGAACAGAAAAGCATTGGAAAGAATGAGATAATTCAATAATATGGCCAGATACAAAGCAACTACACAAGACCCAGAATTCCTGGGCAACATGGATGACCACAGAGAAAGTATGTGACACAAAATCACTTGTTACACAGTATGTTCCTGAATTTCCAAGAACTATGGATGGATGCTGGGCACACAGAAGTGAAGTCAACAGGCAAGTCTCAGCTCTGACATGCTGGCATTCCACTAGGGAGGCAGACAATAAGCATGTACAGAAGAAATGTTTAGCTTGTTGTAGTGCACTGAGGAACCAGGTGGTCTGTGATAGAGACTCACAGGAGACCCCACCTTAGGCTGGTTTCAGGGAGGGCGCCTGGGGAGACAACATTTAAGGTCTGATGGTTGAGCAGAGGGAACAGCGTATGTGACTCCTGTACCTTGAACAAGCTTGATCTGTTCCGGGAACAAAAAGGCAGAGTGTGCTGGAGTGGCATGAGCGAGTGATGGGGAGAGTGTTACGAGTGAGTGTGGAGGGTGGAAGGGTCAAGTCAGTGGGAGATTGTGTCTGATCTCATTTTTAAAAGGTCATTCTCACTGCTATGTGGGAAAAAAATCTGTCAGCAGATTTTGGAAATTTTTTATTTCATGTTGGTTTTGTCCTCTTCAAGTTGGGACAGTGTCTGACTCTTATCCCACTAAACTCCAGAGGAAAACATCTGATAGGCCAGCTGAGACCCTCCATCCTGTTGGTCGCCAGCCCTGACAGGCCCTGACGGGGATCCAGTCCACACCTGTATGCTTAGAAGAGGGTCCCTGCCTTTCACCTTGCAGGGGTCTTGTAATTTAGGGAGCCAGTTCTGCCCTCCAGGTCAATCAGTGACCAGCATCGGCTCAAGTATCTGTTCCAGACCTTTTTCTTTGCTTTTAAAAAAACTTAAATCTGCAATGAGCTGGGAGAGGAGAGGAATGGTGTTTCCCTGAGGTGGCATGGTAGTTGAGAGAGGGAAACTGGTTCTTCAGTGCAGAGCTGCAGGCTGGAAAACTGTTGCCTTTGCCAGTCAATGTGCTGAACTGCAGCAGACAGCACATGTGAGGACAGTAGACACGCTTTTGGGGGTCCCCCTCCCCCAGGGCTTAGAGAACTGCTAAGCCAGATTTCCAGCCTTTTAATTTAATTGAAAGAGGATCCCGAGTAGAAGAGGCTCACACAGATGCTGGAACAAAAGAGGTGGACAGCAAATCACAGGTGTTAAGCTGAGAAAACGTGGGCTCTCCTGGAGGGTAACTGGGAGGGACTCAAGAGCAGAAGTGGGGTCCTTTGCTGAGGTTGCTCTGTCCAGGTCTCTGAGGGCGCTGGGAAGTGTCCATGTTTGGGTCAAGAGGTAGGTGAATTTGGACAGGTGAGTTCAGACAGAGATGTTTGAAAAGAAAAAGATGAACGCCCATGGGAAGAGCCAACCCAGGATAATGTTCAGTGGCCAGAGAGGATCTTCTACTAGTCAAAGAAATGTAGAATGAAGCAGAAGTGTACGGAGCTCTTCAGACTTGGATAAGAGTCTCAGCTCTGCCCCTTCTTCGGTAAATTGACCTCCCTAGAGCCTCTGCACTGTATCAGACCCCTTGGAACGCAGCTCTGCCACTCATCGCATGCCCGTGACTACTTTCCACTAGAACAGCGAGTTGGGCAGGCTCCCTGGCTACTGTTGATCAACACCTTCCTTCAGTGAGTTTGTTGCAGGATGAATGAGGTGATCCTTGCCAGGTGCGTGGCAAGTGCCGAGCACAGAGTGGGGTGGTCTGTAAATGCTGGGGCCAAGGTGGTGTGTCTAGCAAGGCAGGTTGTGAACCACACACCCCCAGAGGCCATGCCTGTGGGTGAAACCACAAGTGGCCCTGTCCCGTAGCTGTTGTTAAGAGTCACTATGCCTAAATACCATTCCTGGTCTTGGACTGAATTTTCTGGCCCCCTTTCAAAGCTGTCCTGGTTAAAGCAGTGGGTCTGAACCCTGGCTGCATATTGATATCACTAGAGGAACTTTTAAACATACCAATTCATGCCTGAGTTCCACCCTGAAGATCCCAGTTTAATTGGCCTGGGAGGTGGCTTTGCCTTTGGGAATTTAAAAAGGCCCTCAGGTAATTCCAAGAGTCAGCCAACTTTGCAAACCAGAGAGTTAAAAAAAAAATTAGCTTCTTTGCTCTGGCCTGTGTGATTTCAGCTGAGTGGATAGCCCAGTTATTGGTTATTCCGAGCGGGTAGGATTAAGGTCACAGGTATGAGCAGCTCTGTACCTTTGGATGGGTCTTTAACCTCTGGGACCACTGTAAAATCATGACACCGTGAAGACTGAAAGAGCTAAAGTGCTTGGCATGGGATGGAAGTGGCCAGTAGGTGGCAGCTAAATTCAGAGTTGTACATGATTACAGATGGGCAAGTGATTCTCACTTAAAATGCAGAGTGTGGTCTGACCTCATCTTTCATGGGCCTGGGTAATAAGAGATTGGAGGAGAGAGTGGGAGTTTTTCACTTGGTTTGTCCTGTTCTGCAAATGACCTCAATGTACCACAGCTTTCCCTAGAGACTGCAGGACATCAGCCCCAGAACAGGCGAGACGGAGCAGGACTCTGGTCTCAGGGTGAGCTCACTAGCCCCACAGGATGCAGCTTGAAACCAAGCACTGGTG